CTGAACACACACACACACACACACACACTGTACTGACAGTGTCATGTAAACATGACTGAAGGAGTGAAAAGTGGAGGAAAAGTCAACTGATTCAACTGAGGCATTTACGCTGGAACCGCTCTGATTGATTTAAACTAAAAAAAGCATGTATAGTGGATGAAACGGAGCTTTTCGAAACTATAATGTTAAACCATTGCATCACAAAGTTTCATTGTTTCGAAGCGCTCCAATCGGATCGCAATTCATTTGCTTCAAATCGGGACTTCAGAGCACAAACTGCAAATCATTTGATTCAGATCAGAACTTCGGAGCAGGTTCACGAATCCTTTGGTTTAGATCGGAACTCAGCGGGTTTGTGAAACATTTGATTCAGATTGGAACTTTAGAGCACGAGCTGACAAGTCTTTTGATTCAGATCGAAACTAACTGGGTTCATGAATCCTTTGATTCAGATCGGGATTTCAGAGCGCGTTCGTGAATCATTTCATTTTTTTTTTTTACCTTGTAGTAGGCAGTACAGTTATAAAAACAAAACAGAAAAAAACGAAGAGAAAGTGTGCACAAATACAGAATTTACACTTTAAGAGGACACATAGGATGAATATAGAGGTGCAGTTTTCACTGCTTTGGGATTAACAGAACTTTAGTTTCCATGTACTTCTCTAGATCAGCTTTGAATAAAGAAAAGAGGGGTTTAGAGCCAGTAAATGATTGTCTCTGTATGTAAAATTCAGCTAGCAGGAAACACAAATTAATTAAGTTAAATTTTCCTACACTCCAAAAACTGTTGGGTTGTTTACTGTACCCAATATCAGATTTAAACATACTGGATCGCTTGTTGTTTTTCTTAACATTTATTGAGTTAATTCTATAACAACGCAACCATTTGGGTTAAAATGTTCAATTTAAGTTAATATATCTGTGCGCACTCCTCATCTTCATCATGTACTCTTCACTCGTGTGAGTGAGAGAAAAAGAGAGACACTGTTTAATTTAAAAGTAATTACACATGCTGCAATAAAATGTGCATTTGTTCATATTCATTTTACAGTACATATAATAATTTTAAAATAGTTTGAACATCAATTTCTTCATTCTGTAATTCTATAATTCTGTATTCTGTAATGTTATCCACAAATCAAGAAATAGCTAAACACAAGTCTGCGCACACTGGGAATGATATTTTCTCAGATAAACAGCAGGTAGTGTTAATGTTACACACAGCACACGGTCAGTATGAGAGATGTGGTGTTGCTGATGTACTGACATGATTCTCTTGGCATCTCCAGCTAAACTTCTGGAAGAGCGTAAGTTCCTCACCTGCTGTCCTGAAGGATGCTTGCTGTGAACTGAGCTTGTTATGTCCTTTATTGTCATTAGTTTGCATATGATATGGTTTTATTGCTGTGTTTGCATGCTGTTCTTTTGGCACGACTGCTGCTTCAGTTCTTTTGTGGAGGAAATTTGACGGACTCATTAATACAGCATTGATTTATAGACATAAAAGAGCGTTTGAGTGCATGTGCTGCAGTAGATTGATGTGCGGTGTTATCATGTTTTGCATGTTGATGGATCCTGCGTGTGCTCATCTGTCATGTGACCCCCAGTGCCGCAGCCCCCCACAATCACCCATCAGTCGCCGAAGGACTACATCATAGATCCGCGCGAGAACATCGTCATCCACTGCGAGGCCAAAGGGAAACCGCATCCCAGGTGAGAAACCTGTCTGAGCTCGTCATTAATGATCTTCATTTCATTCATAATACTGTGATCAGCTGTTGTTTCCACCACTAAGACGACACGAAGGTAAACACTACTGTGACTATTATTAAAGTTCACCCACATTCTGTCATCATTTACTCATCCTCATGTCGTTCCAAACCTGTATGAGTTTCTTTCTTCTGTTGAACACAAAACAAGTTATTTTGAAGAATAATGGCAACCAAACAGCTGACGGTAGCCATTGACCTCCATAGTATGGAAGAAATTACTATTGAAGTCAATGGCTACCGTCAACATTCTTTCGTGTTCAACAGAAGAAAGAACCTGTTCATACAGGTTTAAACAACTTTAGGGTGAGTAAATGATGACAGAATTTCATTTTTGGGCGAGCTATCCCATTTTGAAATATTAAAATATTGTAGATGAAAAAAAGACGAGACTGAAATGTAGTTTAAATTAAAAAAAAAAAAAAAACTTTACCAAAACCTCTCTTTATGCTCATCAACAAAAAAAGAGGAGAAAGGCTTAACAAGCCTCCAGAAGCTTTCCAGATGTCAATAATAAAGTGCTAGTTTTTGATAGGTGCTTCTTGTTTTTCAATTTGTCGTAATGTATGATCAATATAATAAATCAGGAAACTAGACCGTGCATGTGAGGTCACACTCTTAATTTGCTGTAATTCTGATGAAATGTAAAAATACAGTTCTCAAATGACAGTGTAGAACAGTAATCATGAATAAAATTGACCAAAATAATTAGTATTAACCATTATAACCATATAATCAGTTTAACCATAATGCAGCATAACTAAATGTGACTAAAATATGGTATTTATAATCATAAAATAATGATATCACACTATTTAATTTAAAGATAACAAATAACACATGCTGCAATAAAATCGATATATATATTTTTTTTGTTTTCTTTTTTCTTTACATAATATTTATTAAATTATAAATAATTTGAAAAGAAAAATTGAAAGTCCTCAACTTCTTGATTCTGTAATTCTATTTTCATATTTTTCACAAATCAAGAAATAGTTAAAAACAAGTCTGATCACGCCGGGAATCATATTTTTGCTCATTTTGCATACAAAACACAATATGAGAGAAACGTTTGTTTTGCATGTTTCTATGCAAGTGACAGTAAAAATCACTAACATTTGTGAGGTTCATTGAATTAAACATGTATGACATATTCAAAGACTTTTTTAGGATGACATAAAAGTGCATTTGCTGAATATCATTATTAATATATATACAGTATATAACTTGCTACGTGTACTGTGTTAGGCTAACTGAGACTTGTCATAGCACTGGCATATTATTGCTCTTTTGTTGATTCTGATTGCTTCTGTATGTTCTCATTTGTAAGTAGCTTTGGATAAAAGCGTCTGCTAAATGACTAAATGTAAATGTAATATGAAAAATATAATAAATCATGTTTGTGAGTAACCACATATATAGGCTAATCATGATTATCTGTTAAACCATCATGCAGCATGACTAAATGTGACTAAAATGATATTTACGATGATAAAATATGATTGTGAAATATATACTCATATATGTTTTCAATGACTAAAATTTTCAGACTTTTCGTCAACTAAAACTTGACAAGGTTGAGTAAGTATTTGACATTTGACACAGGACTAGCTGACAGAATGAACTCACGATTTGCCGTTCTCCTCGCCCTCAGCTTCTCGTGGACCAGGAACGGGATGCATTTTGACATGGATAAGGATCCTAAAGTCCTGATGAAGCCTCGTTCAGGGACGCTGGTGATGGACATCAGCGGAGGAGAGCGTGCCGAGGCGTACGAGGGCGTCTATCAGTGCTCCGCTCACAACGAGCTCGGCACCGCCGTCTCCAACAGCATCATCATCCGCCAGTCCAGTACGTCACATCAGTCACAGCACAGCTTCCACACTCTCATCTGCCTCTGTTTAACCCTGCTATCTCTCACTGTTCTGTGATAACAAATAACACATGCTGCAATAAAATCGATATATATATGTTAAAAAAATTTCTTTACATAATATTTATTAAATTATAAATAATTTGAAAAAAAATTTGAAAGTCCTCAACTTCTTGATTCTGTAATTCTATTTTCATATTTTTCACAAATCAAGAAATAGTTAAAAACAAGTCTGATCACGCCGGGAATCATATTTTTGCTCATTTTGCATACAAAACACAATATGAGAGAAACGTTTGTTTTGCATGTTTCTATGCAAGTGACAGTAAAAATCACTAACATTTGTGAGGTTCATTGAATTAAACATGTATGACATATTCAAAGACTTTTTTAGGATGACATAAAAGTGCATTTGCTGAATATCATTATTAATATATATACAGTATATAACTTGCTACGTGTACTGTGTTAGGCTAAC